GTGGCCGGGAGCGGCCACTGCACTCCAGTCTGGGTGACAGAGTGAGACTCCAGCTCAAAAAATAATAATAATAATAATAATAATAAAAAAATTTTAGCCGGGCTTGGTGGCTCAGCCTGTAATCCCGTGCCTTTGGGAGGCTGAGGTGAGAGGATTGCTTGAGCCGTGGGTTCAAGACCCGCCTGGGCAGCGAGACCTCATCTCTACAATAAATCAAAAAAAAAATTAGGCGGGCGTGGTAGCACATGCCTATAATTCCGGCTACTTGGAAGGCTGAAGCGGAAGGATCGCTGGAGCCCAGCAGGTCGAGGCTGCGGTGGCCGGGAGCGGCCACTGCACTCCAGTCTGGGCAACAGAATGAGACTCCAACTCAAAAAAATAAATAAATATAATAATAATAATAATAATAGTAATAATAATAATAATAATAACAACATTTTTAAAATTTGGGCAGTTTCAAGGAAAAGAGAATCAATATTACATAGATGGTCCTAGATTTGATAATCATGTAAGTGAAATCCTCACCTTTTGGTCCAATCTTTGCAAGAATAGAATGAATCTGTACCATTAACTCCTCATGTGAGGAAGATTCTTTGCTGGCATTCACAAGTAATTGTAACAATATTTGTGAACCACCTTTGGCGACTAAGAAACTTGCTCTTCGACCTCCACCTAAAAATTTAAAAAATAATCATTTAAGCGCAAATCCTCCCATATCACAAACTGTAAGCATTCAAGAAATGGTTAAAGTGACAACTGCTAAAATCAAACAAATACCACCAAAATCAAATTTTGTTTTATATAATTTATTTAGTTAGAAAATAGCACACAAAGTATAAACAAAAGTGATGCCAAAATTCTAAGTTCAAGGCTCTGTAACACATGGCCATAGAGATAGTTTGAAGGATACTTGAAGATATCAAAAACAAAGCAACAACAGAGTATGACATTTCAGTTTCTTAATTCTAATACTCAGAATAGCCTCTATATAAGTACCAGAAAATTCCAAATAAAGGATACATGATACACTGTTGATCACTGTTTACAAACAAATCAGACCAAGGAAACAAAAACTTACCAGCTGACACCAGCTCAACAAGAATGCTTAAGATATTAAGTGTAGTTTGAAGATCTTTCGTGTTCTGAAATAAACAGTTTATTTGCTTTAGTAAAACACTGTAAACCTGTGATTCCCAAATGTTTTGTATCTATTGGGAACTACCTATATATTACAGATGGCCTTTCCAATTTCTCTAGGGACAAATGCATTCAGGTTTGCACTATTCTCTTATCACTTCAGTCTCTGCTTCTTGCCTTTTATGAATTTTCACAAATCATTTTGGGCTACCATTTTCTTAATATCAACATTATCACAAGAAGTTAATTTATCATTTGAATTCCTCATCTTTCCACCAAATAGATAATAAACATAAATGAATCAAAATGTAAAAGGCCCTATAGTGTACACAAGAGGGTACCCAAAAGAACCGGAACTATTTTTTAGAGGGTGGACTCCTTGTAGTTCAGGCTTTCCCTGCTAAGTGAGTATTCTAGGAACCCATCAGCATCAGTGTACCATTTAGCAATGTTGTGGGAGGCTGTGCTTGCCTTCAGTGGATTTCTTTTTTGGAGATTCATTTAGCATATTAGCCCATTTCATGATGGGTGATTTTACGAACGCACCTGCCAACACCACGCTGAGTGTTCAGCACCTTTTGACCAAAAATAACATGACTCCATGCCCCACCCACCCTATTCATCCAATCTCACTCCGAGCAACTTTATTTTTTTGTTTCCTCAGATGAAAAAAGTTCTGCCAATATGAAAGAGTTGAAACAAAAAATATACAATGTCTATAAATAAATTCCACTTTTGGGGGGTCCTCTCTCATATATAGCAACAACTATATCACCTAGCTCCCCTCTCAGAAGGCAATCACATTAACAGTTTCTTGTGTATCTTGCCAAAGATAATATGCACACTTAAAGGAAATGCATGTAAATATATTTGCATATGCAAATTTAATTCTCCAAACAGTACTGCTCTGTAGATACTACAGACAAATGTAACCAAAGTACAGTGTTTAAACATTTTCACTTATTAGATTGGTTGTCCAAATTTTGAGAAATAGTTATGCTTATAGATTGTTGATGGGAGTGTAAATTATTCAGTGGAGAGCAGTTTGCATCTTGATATTTTACATACTAATAAATAAGGACTCTAGAATATATTCCATGATATGGCTATACATTGTTTATGTAACCAGTAACCTATGTGTGAAATATTTAGGTTGTTTTTAATACTTTGCTATTAAGAATTGCAACAAATGACTAAGTACATATATTTACATGGGTGAAGTACATCTGTATGTGAGATGAATTTCTGGAATTTTTCTGAGTCAAAGAATATGGGCTTTTATTTTGATAGATATTACCAAACTGCTCTCCACTGAATAATTTATACTCCCATCAGCAATCTATAAGCATAACTATTTCTCAAAATTTGGACAACCAATCTAATAAGTGAAAATGTTTAAACACTGTACTTTGGTTACATTTGTCTTATCAAAAGTAGGGAAGATGTAGTTCATTCTTATAATCCCAGCACTTTAAGAGGCCAAGGGGAGAGGATAATTTGAGGCCAAAAGTTCAAGAACAGTCTGGGCAACATAGAGAAACGACTGTCTTCACAAATTTAAAAATTAGCTGGGTGTGTTGGTACACACCTATAGTCCTAGCTACTTGGGAGGCTAAGGCAAAAAGATCATTTAAGCCCAGGAGTTCAAGGCTGCAGTGAACTATGCTAGCTCAATCTCAAGTGACATTTGTGTTTCTTTGTCTGGGAACTATCTGTTTATAGTCTTTACATGATTTTCTATTGGGTTACTGATTTTTTTTCCTTACTAATGTGGAAGTTTTTTATGTGTCAAAGAAATTATGAATCCCGATATTTTTTCTTCAGTTTTCCAAATACCTATCACATTTTTTCATGTACTTTTGTTAATAGAGTTAAATTTACCAAACTTTTATTTTAAAGCTCCTGTTTTTTCATATTTAGAAAGCATTCCTTCTTGTAAGATTATTTTAAACTTTCTCTTTTTGTATCCTCTAGTAATATGACTTCATTTTCCATGCTTAAATCTTTGTTCAGCATGGAATTTATTTTGGTGCAGCAAAACTGGAAGTACGAGGGGTGACCCCACCCGAAACAGGAATTTATTATAAAAAATTGTGTATTTATTCTTACATGTTTAAACTTCAGATACCTTCAGAGTACTCTATGTTTGATGCTATAGACCTATTGTAACGCTTTTCCACTGCTCAAATTTTCAAACTCATCAACTTTGATGCCTATTAGTGCTTCTGCTGTTTGTTTCACCTATTCCACATCAGCAAAATGTTTCCCTCTGAGGACATTTTTCATCCAGGGAAACAAAAAAGTCTCTCAGGGCAAGATCTGGTGAATAGAAAGGGTGAGGCACAGGAGTCAAATTGTTTTGGTCAAAAAATGCTGAATACCCAACATGGTATGGGCAGGAACATTCTCATGATGGAAGAATCAGTCACCTGCTTCCCACAACTCGGGACGTTTCTTCCACAAATCACGCAACTTTCTCAGAATTTCCATATAAAAGCCAAAGGGTCCCTAGAACAGTTACCTAGCAGGGGAGCCCTGTACTATCAGGGGCCTGACCTCCAAAAGATAATTCTGTAGGGGTTTTTTTGGTCCCCCCCTTGTACAGATCCAATGTTAGGCTTTTCCAGATGACCGCTAATAAGTAATCCTCACTGATTACTTCCTACTGATCTGAAATGTGACCTGTGCTACGTAGTACTTAATTCCCATAAGCATTTTGATCTATTTTCGGATTTTGTATTCTGTTACACTGATAGCTATCTAACTACTACTCATGTACACCTTCCAGACCATTTTAATTACTAAAGCTTTATAATGTTCTTTAATATTTGGTGAGAATAGTCCTTTCTCATTTTTCTTTTTCTTTTTTCCTCCAGAAATGTGCTTATTTTTTCTTAATATTTCTTCCACTTAGACTTCAGAAACCAAAACCATTGCTCTACAATGGCAAATCAATTTAGGGACAAATGACAACTTTATGATGCTATCAAAGAACATAAAGCCATACCTTGTTCTTAACACTGCAGTGAATAAAACATAGAATCCTAATATTGAATACATTCTGCTGTTCTGCTCAAAACTTTTACACTAGTACAGGAATTCAATTATCATCAATGTAATATATATGTAATGAAACAAACAACAAACGTATATCAATTTACACAATACAATAAGTAATGCCCAATGTTGATCATTTAAGCTAAAGATTTATTTCCAGCTAATGTTTTATTTTCTATTACCAGTTAGAACAGCATGTTAAGATTACAATTTACAGTTGTCATTATAATAATAAGGAAATATACATAAATACTCACCTAATATATATTTGAAAATTCATATCACCATTCCAAATAATATTTAAAATATAAAACAAGCTTTCATTCATTGGCTTTACTTCTAACATAATTTACACACACACACTCGCTCTCTCTCTCTATATATATATAAAGAAAGTATTTGTGTGTGTTTTTTCCTTCAGTATTGCTTGGTGTAAGTAGCCACATAATAAAGTCTATTAGCGATTTACCTCTAATGTTGACAGCAGAACTTCCATTCCTGTAGAACCTTTGGCTGTCATTTCTCTCCTTGTCTTTTCTGAAAAGTAGAAAATTTTTTTTTCTAAAACATGAATGAAGTATATACAGTTTTGTTACATATAGCTAATGTAGAATCAACAAGTATCCAGTGGTCTAGTAAAAATACTAAACTGTCGTGACCCGCCTGGGCAACTTGGCGGGACCTCACCTCTACAATAAATCAAAAATTAGCCGGGCGTGGTAGCGCACGCCTGTAGTTCCAGCTATTTGAAAGGCTGAGGCAGAAGGATCGCTGAAGCCCAGCAAGTCGAGACTGCAGTGGCCAGGAGCGGTCACTGCACTCCAGTCTGGGTGACAGAGTGAGACTCCAACTCAAAAAAAAAAAACTACTAAATTGGGTCCTAGGTGTTCCTCCCTCCGATGTTGCTAATTCTATCTGTGAGGACATCCAGATTTCAGTTAACAACACCCTCCTCGCATTTCATCACAGCTTCTATCATGGATTAGGCAAGTCTCTATTTATGCATTTAAAAATCTCAAAACCAATAATATAGTGCAGGTGCCAGAACTAGAAACGAGGTAGCAGACTTAATGGAAGGCCTCTTTCCTTATCATTGTGAATAGAACTAGAAAATAGTTTATCATAATGGATGAAAGCAAAAACCTAGTATCATTTTTCAGATGTTTTTATTGTATTAATACTATTTTAAAATATTGAGTCACAAAAATAAACAAAACTAAGGAAAAGTTATTTCTGTAAGAATCTGGAGACCATATCACTCAAATGATCCTTTTCCTTTCATTGGGGTAGAAATTATTTATATTATTTAAAGTTTCTGAGCGCTTCTTCACAATTCTCCTTCTTTGATTAACAAGAGATGAAAAGTATATCATAGGCCAACATTTAGAAAAGGAACTAATATTTATTATTCCACACATTTTACCTCATTTTTGTTTCACTTTAACTCTATAAGGAAAACCTGTACTCTTTATATAGACCAAAAATTTAAGTTGAAAAAGGTGAAGAAATCTGTACAAAGTCATTGAGCAAGTAAGTGAAACAGCCCAGATGACCCAGGTATTTCTGAACCCGAAGCCTAAGTCTTTCACTAATTTAATGTACTTCTAAAAGAGTCACAGGAATAATTCTTGTGGTAGGATTATGACACAAGAGACGTGGTGATCCCTCTCCAACTTTTTCAAACCTGAATACTAATTAATGCATGAAATTATTTTAATACAGGATGACAATGCCATTCATTTGACATTTTGAGACTTTAAAGATAGATCTCAATATAATACATATTACAGTATATAGTTCAAAGGAATGATAGTAACAAATTCTCCATATGAAGACAGTCAAGGAAAGTTAAAAAGAGAAATATGGGCACAGAGGACCTGATGACAAAAAAATATCAAAACAGATAAGAGGAAAATATTCGGATGAAACCCTAGGAACATTTTGTTTTTGCCTTGAGTACACACTGTTCAACTTCAATCTGACATCTATTTGAAAATTAAGTTTCTTTAAGAGTTATCAAAGAGGTGGGTAAAATGTACTACAGAGAGGTTATGGGATAACGTTATTTATGACAACTATCAATAACTAACTACAAAATAAACATGCTGGTAATTAGATGCCATATTTGCCTTAAAACAACAATCTCATGCTATCGTCTCAGGTCCAGTTAATGACCTTATCTCAGGACCATCATCTCAGGTCCAGTAAATGACCTCTGTCACATGTATCATACAAACAACAACCATTAGAAAGCTTGAGGGACTATACTAATTATCATACAAAACAAACTTCAAGAGAAAGAAAACTGCCAGACGTAAAAGAGAAACTTTCCATAATGGGACACAAACCTCAGCTTTCTCACTCTACATCTCCCACCAAGAAAATTTCATTCCACTCCCATTACTTTAACTACCAATCCGTTGACTCTCAACCCTACTTTTCATTCAGAACCTCTATACTGAGCTTTTCATTTTTTCTTCTAACTTCTTTATAAACCCTAAGATTGTATAAGCAATTATAACATAGGTTGGGTTTCTAGCAATTTAGATATAACATATACAACAATAACAGCATAAAGGAATGAAAAGGAAATAGAGCTATATTAGAAAAAAGTTTCAATAATTTACTGGAATTAAGTATACAGTACTACTGTAATAAGATGCACATTCTAATCCCTATAGGAACCACTAAAGTAAAATTTTGTAAAGTGAAAAAATAAAAAGATAACACAAAAAAGAAAGCAGTAAAGGGTGAGAAATATAAAATACACAAAGCACAGAGAAAACAAATAACAAAATGACAGATGTATATTCAATTTAATTTATCAGTAAGTGTATTAAATTGAAAACACTAAAACAGACTGGATAAAAAAGCAAGATCCAAAAATATGTTTTCTTCAGGAAACACACTTTAGATTCAAAGGCACAAAAAGAGTCAAAGTAAAGGTAATGAAAAAAGTATAATATGCAAAAAGTAACATAACACAGCTAGAGTGGCTATATTATCATCAAACTTTTAAACAGGCTTTAAATCTAGAAATATTACAGGGACAGAGGGACATTTCATAAAGATGAAAGTGTCAAACCATCCGGAAGTTAAAACAACTATAAATATACACAAAATTCACAACAGAGACTCAAAATATATGATCCAAAAACAGCCAAAATTAAAAAAAGAAACATATATCAACAATAATAAATATTTCAATACTCAACTCGTAATAATTGATAGAGCACCTAGAGAGAGAATCAACACCTAGAGAGAGAATCACAGAGTACAGAAGATGTGAACAACACTATTAACTACCTTGACCTAACTGACATTTATAGAACACTCCACCCAACAACAGCAGAATATACAATCTTTTCGAGTGCATATGGTCTTCAGGAGAGACTATATAAGTAAGACATAAAGCAAGTCTCAATAAATTCAAAAGGACTGTAATCATTCAAAGTGTATTCTCCAGTCACAATAAAACTAAATTAGAAATTAACAGAAAGAAATTTGAGAAATCTGAAATATTGGGAAATTAAGCAACACACTTCTAAATAATCCACAGGTCAAGAAAGAAATCACAAAAGAAACTAGAACAAATTGCAAACTGAATTTAAACAAAAATACACCATATCAAAAATTGCAGAATGCAGTTAAAGCAGTGTTTACAGTGGAATTTATGGCTTTAAATGTCTATCATAGGAAAGAAAGGTCTCAAAATCAATTAAGTTTCCACTATAAGAACATAGAAAAACAAGCACAAATTAAACTCAAAGCAAACAGAAGGAGGAAAGCAACAGCTAAACTAATAAAGGAGCTCAATGAAACAACAGAAAAATCAATTAAACCAGAAATTGGTTTGTTCAAAAGATCAACAAAATTGACAATCTTTTAGCTAGACCAGGGTTTCTCAACCTCAGCACTGCTGATATTTTGGGCTTGATAATTTATTTGGGGGGATTGTCCTAGATACTACAGAATGTTCAGCAACATCTTAGGCCTCCAATAGACAGATTCCAGTAAATCCCCCACAAAAACGTTACAACCAAAAATGTCTCCAAATTTGCCAATGTCCCTGCAGAAAGAAGTAGAGCAAAATCAAAATCATCCCTGATTGAGTGTACAGCTAGACGGACCAAGAAAAAGAGAGGACACAAATAACCAAAATCAGGAATACAAGAGGTCACAACACTCCCTACTCCTTAGAAACTAAAAGAATTGTAAGGAAATGTTACCAACAAATTAGACCACTTGCATAGAAATGAATATTTAATATAAATATTTCTAGGAAAAAGCAAGAGTAAATTGCAAGGAGTACCATTCACACTACAAATAAACAGTATATTACCAATGACAGAAATGCATGCAAAGGAAACTAGAAGCAAGCCGGGCTCGGTGGTTCAGCCTGTAATCCCGCACTTTGGGAGGCTGAGGTGAATGGATTGCCTGAGCCCGTGGGTTCGAGACCCACCTGGGCAACTTGGCGAGACCTCATCTCTACAATAAATCAAAAAATCAGCGGGGCATGGTAGCACATGCCTGTAATTCCAGCTACTCAGAAGGCTGAGGCGGAAGGATCGCCGGAGCCCAGCAGGTTGAGGCTGCAGTGGCCGGGAGTGGCCACTGCACTCCAGTCTGGGCGACAGAGTGAGACTCTAACTCAAAAAAAAAAAAGAAAACTAGAGGCAAATTGTAGAAAAGTATGTTTCAACTATGAAATGTGTGTTGTAGGGGTTTGTTTTGAATCATCTAAATACATAAGTAGTATGTGCTTGTTGCAACAATTCTAACAGTACAAAAGTATAACACTTTATTAATAATTTGTTTATAAATAAATTATTTATTTATAAATAAAGCGATTCCCTCATTACCCTCCCTCCATTCCTATCCCATCAATATAACTATGCTAACTATTTGGTATGTATCCTTTTTTTTTTTTTTTTTTTGTCCTGGCTAATATAAACATTATATATAAATATAATGGGTTTTTTAATAACAAAAATGGGACTGTATATAGTTATATGAACTAAAGAAACTTGCCTTTTACTTACTATGCTAAATTTAACATCCAAGACAATTCATATACTTTCACATATGTGTGTTCCATTTATAATTTTTTTCAGAACATTAATAAAGTTTATAGGAATTCAGTCATGCCTGTTAGTTTATGTGTCATCTATAGCTTCTTTTACACCACAAGACAGAGTTAAGTAGCTGTGACAGGGTCTGTATGGCCCACAAAGCCTAAATACGTTCTATCTCGTCCTTCACGGAAAACATCTACTCTTCCCTGCTCTGGGGCTGTAGCCCTCGATTTTGGAACAATGTGGAAAGCTTTAATAGTAATGATTTAATTGGTCTGGGCTGAGCCTGGTGTGGGGGTTACAAGAGCCCCTATCATAAATAATTTATCACTGATAATAGTTCCATAATATAGTTATAAAGTTCCAGTGTGGCTATATCAAAACTTAATCATTCTTTCAATGATATTCAGGTTGTTTCTTGATCTTTGATATTACAAACAATGCAATAAATACTCTCAAACACTCTTTCTTATACTAGCATTTTTATTTCAGTCAAATACATTTCTGAAGGTGGAAATTCTGGGTCAAACACCGGTACACTTTAAATTTTAATACATATTACTATATTATTCTCTAAAGTTTGTAATAATTATCCACCACCAATAGTGTACGAGAATATCCTATTCCCATGCCTTCAAAGCACTGGATGTTGTCATTCTCTGGAATTTCTGCCAATCTAACTAGTGAAAGATATCTATGTTGTTTTCATTAGCAGTTCCTCACTTTAAAGGAGGAAAAGAACCCTTTTGTATGTTTACTGATTGAATGTCTTCTTATTTGAATTATACATTCCTACTCTTTCTCTCCTAAATGGATAACTAAGTGGATTATCTTGTAAATGATGAAACAATCTTTCAGTACTAACCTATATATACTGTATTGGCTGGTTAATCCTAGGTACTACAACAGTCCTTAGATTACACACTCCCATGGGATAGTATTCAGGAGTTGGTCTCTTGGGGTGGATGGCAGGACAGGAAGAGGGGCAGTCTCTGGTAATGGTACAGCTGGGAGCACTTTCAGTGGTGATGTTGGAATAGGGGCTTCCAGGTCGTAATGGGAAGAGTCTACTGCGGTAAGAGCAACAGACAAAAGTGTTATCTACAGGTTTGGAGGATTTGTTACCTTTTGTTGGGGTTATTTTGTTTGTTTTGAGGAGGAAGTATTTCATACAATATAGTTAATACACGTAATACATTTAACTATGCACTGTTACAATGAGCATTCTTGCATATCTGCATTAGCTAATAAGCACAGTATTTCCAGAGCCTAGAATCCAATATAGTGACTTTCTGAACTAAAAGGTACAGAATTTTAAATCCTGCTAGAAAGAAATGCCATCTACTAGAGACTATTCCTGGGTTTTGGGTGGTGTCAACTATCCTCCAAATGCATGGGCTGCAGAGGAGGAAGTTATCAAAATAAATTAAGGGTCTATGACCATGATAGATTAATAGATTCTGAGCTCCTGAGAACAGTAAATGCCTAGTAAACGTTTTCAATGACCTGATTCTCCAGAATAATGGCATGACAAAAAAACTAAGCATTACAATTGATGCACCCTAATTTTAACAGAAATGCCTTTAACAGTACCATTGCTAAATAATAAAGTATCTGCTGATTTTCTTCTTCCTTATTAAAAAAGGGGGGGTGTTTTTGAATCAAGCAAGATATTGGAATCTTATCCAACTCTTCTTTTTACCAACTACTGAAATAATTTACATAGATTTTATTTGACCTGTTCAAATAATGTTATACTGATATATTTCCTGATATAAACCATTTTGCACTCCTAAAAGATGTTTCGCTGGCAGTGATTTCCTCTTTTAAAATACAGATTTAACTCCCTAATGTTTTATTAGGCCTTTTTCACATCGTGTTCCTAAGTACAAAGTCATTACTTCTTAAGTACTCTCACAGTTTTGATGCCAATTTAGTAGCATTAGCTTCATAAAATACAGTAATAATATCTAATTACAGATGACATTTACAGAACATTTTTTACACTCTTTTTACATGATTTTCATGTAAATCTCATGACAGCCTCCATGACATCTGTCACATCTATTTCAAAGACGGTACAGCTATATCCTAGAGATGTAATAACTTCCCTAAGGTACCTAACCATTGAATGGAAGAGCCTAAATTTTCAAGTGGAGAGAACACTAATAACCAGTATTCTATGCTGCTTGACAACTTTTTGCCAGCATTCTATGATAAGTAGCACTAGAATTAGGTGATATTTGAAAATGAGGGGTAGCAATCACTATATAAGCAAAACTGTAATCATTAAAAGAAACAAGGCTTTGAAGACCAATCTCTTCCAAAATCATTCAGTTTTCTACATATCGAGTCAATCTGAGAAAGTTCAATTTTTACACAAAATCATCCCTTCATCAAAAGTTTGAATATTTTTAGCATCTATTTTGAAAAGAATGTAGAAAGCACTCCAAAGGCAAGGACGACATTAAAACTTACCTTGACTTTGAGCCAGATGAAGAATTTTTGATGTAACATATCTGGCACTATCTGATTCTGCAGATTCAGTATTGATCTTCTCCAGCTGAGCCAGGAGTCCCACAACCCGAGAATTATTAGTAAGGCTAAAAAGAACGTAGAACATTCTTAGGGCACATCCTACATCAATGATAAATTCAATACTATAAAGATCACTTCAAAAAGAAAATCTTCTTAAAATATTAAGCATTTACATGTCATATTTCCTTACTTTATAGTTTCTATTGTTAAAATCATAATTTAAGTGAGAAACATTCTTTTCAGAAAACTAAAATTTGCAAATGTCCCTTCAACCCTGCCCAGTCTTACATCACACCCCGAAAGTTCACCTTTCCACTCTCCAAGACTTTTTACACTTTCTTTGTTCTCCTCAAAACTCTTAAAAATCCTTCCTCCCATCCCACTCCATTCTCAGTTAACATCCTGCATCACAACTGTTGTAAAATCAAACAAGAATACACTCATCTTCCCACCACCAGATCCTTAAACCTATCTATTCTCTACCTATATTCTTTCTTCCCTGTTCCCGTTCATCATACAAGCATTTGCACATAAGGTACTATTCTAGGTTTCGTCAATGTAAGATTTAAAAAACCCTACCCCTTAATGAGTGTACATTCTAAGATGAAAAGCAAGTAAAATACGTATGTAAATTCTATGGCATGTCAGGTGACAGGAAGTACTATGGAACAAAAGCAGATAGGAGGAATAAAATGTATAGGAGGAGGGGGCCAATTCTGAGTGGTCAGAGAACACCTCATTGAGAGGGTATCATTTAAAGACAAGCCTAAAAGAAATGAGAAAGCAAGTCATACAGAACCAGCAAAAAGAACTGTCCAAAACACAGAGGCACAACCACCACGATCCCAGGACAGGAGCGTGCCTGTGGTGCTCAATGAACAGTGAGGTGGCCAGTTGGTTGCAGCAGACCTCTTAAAGGAGAATAGTAGTAAGAGGTGAGGTGAGAGTTGGAGGTGGCCATGGGAGAGAACATACAAAGACAGCAGATCATTTACAGGCTTGTGGCCCATTTTAAGGACTTTGGCTTTTATAATGAGAGACAGGAAGAGTTTTTTTTAACAGAAGAGTTATGCATTCTCACTATTAAAAAGCTGTAAGAAAAATCCTTTCACTTGAACACATGATCCCAGTCCCTCTTACATTCTCAAAGTATCTGCTCCTTCTTTTTGGTTTTTTAATTGGAGTCTCACTCTGTTGCCCAGGCTGGAGCACAGCAGTACTTTCATGGCCACCACAGCCTCAACCTGCTGGGCTCATCAGATCCTTCCACCTCAGTCTTCCAAGTAGCTGAAACTACAGATGCATGCCACCATGTCTGGGTAATTTGTTTTTTTTAAGATGTGGGGTCCAATTCAGAATCAGGTATATAAGTGGTCATAGTATAGGTAAAGTTTGGGTCTCCCTTTGGTCCCTACTTCACCTGGTTTAAGATTAGGTACTCTTATTGATGTTATGTGCACCCCCTCCATCCCTGACAGTGTCCTGCTACTGCCAATCCCTTATAGCATTACGAAAAAAGTTCAAGGTCTGCTTATGAGTGAGAACATGTGGTACTCAGTTCTTTGCTTCTGTGATAGATCATTGAGTACTACAGACTCTAAATCCATCCAAGTTGCAGCAAAGACCGTAAGAATGCCCTTCTTTGTGGCTGCCTAATATTCCAATATGTATGTACATATTTTTTAGCCGGTCTAGTTTTGATGGGCAGCACAGTCGCTTCCATGTTTTTGCTATTGTGAATACTGCTGCAATAAACATGCGTGTGCAGGTATCTTTTTGGAAGAATGATTTCAGTTCCTCTGGGTATATTCCCAGTAGGGACATTGCTGGGTCTTATGGAAGGCCAATTTCTAGTTCTTTTAGAAATAGCCACACTGTTTTCCATACAAGTTGAACTAGTCTGCATTCCCACCAACAGTGTAGAAGTGTTTCCTTTTTCTCCTCATCTTCACCAGCATCTGTTGGTTTTTGTTTTATTAATGATGGGCATCCTTACTGGGGTTAGGTGGTATCTCAGTGTGGTTTTGATTTGCATTTCTCTGATGATTAGTGAGGTCAAGCACTTTTTAATGTATCTGTTAGCTGCCCATAAGTCTTCTTTTGAGAAGTGTCTATTCATATCTTTTGCCTACTTTTTCATAGGGCTGGTTTTTTTTCCTTTCAGCACTTTTGAAATCCTTGTAGATCCTAGATGTTAGGCTTTGTCGATATACAATTGGCAAGTGTTGGGAGCCGGCCTTGGAGGTCCACCTGATTGACAGGGTCCTGGTGGGCCGAAGACCCCAGCCCGCAGGGCGAGCCCAGGAAGCTGAGGCCCTTCTGTCTTCCACCTTTGCTGTTAGGTACGGCTGAAGAAATTCTGTGCAGTCATGGAAGGAGAAAATGGCATGTTTATGCGAAGTACTCACACCTAACCTGAGAATGTCATGGTTCATTTTTCCATTTTTCCACTATGCCGCTTGGCCTTTTGTAACATATGCAAGGGTTAAATTCTGAAGCACATCAAGAATGCTTTCTTTCACTTGGTTATAAGTTACTAGACATTGCTTGAGTAAAAAATGATATAAGTATATTCACTCCTCATTTGATTTAGAATTATGCAGTTTAGTGTTTAGACATAAAGGTTTTTTTAGAAGCACAAGTTTATAGTAAAGTTCATCTATGAATTTCATTATAAGTTCTAACACTTATCTAGGAGTTATGTAAGTGATTTAATAACACTGCCTTCACAGACTTAGGATAAAGATTAATCGTTAAGGTTTTTACT